TACAGGAGCACAACTGAAAATCTAAAAGGGTTTTCATATAAGAAAGAGACACTTCTTAAGATAAAAGATCTTGGCCTCATTCCAAGTCTCTAAAAAAACGGATAGATAAAACTTGAGATTCACTCAGGTACTAAAATACAAAACAGGCGAAACACACCACAGAGCCACCTCCTATTTACAACCTCTCTTATGTTCTTAATGAAAGCTGAACAGAAGCAAACTGCTCACTACCATTAAAGTACAATCAGACTAGTAGTCGTTAGGGTGCTGTATAAGGACCTACAGTAAGAGCCATCGGTTAAAATCATGTATATTGTTCTCAGCAAACTACTACACTTAAATGATTTTTGGTTCAGTTTTGCTCCAGTAAATATACTACATACTGTATAAATGGGTATTCTCCAGGATGCAGCTGCAAACAAGTTAATTGAGAAATAATTCTAATCTGGTTAAAGAACAAAATTAAAAATAAAACACAGAGCATAGGCAGAAAAACTTAAAAATTAACCCAATTTTAAAATAAGCATGAAGTGCCTGTGACACTTTAAGAAGAAGAACTAGATGACTTACTATATTGGGGGAAATAAAACTGCAGATCAAAAGGATTCAGAATCATTTGCAGTGGATTTTTTAATTAGTACAGATTATTTATCAGAAATGGAAAACAGTTCATAATAGTTCTCGGATGCATTTACTGTCCTTTAAGAATATAATCAACCAACTGGTATTTTAGGGATGTCTATGATGTTATCATGAATTCTACTATAAACGGAATTGCCCCCTAAGACATTTTGATAGTACACAAAATACTACAGTGAAAGAGAAGCTATCAAGTTATTAAACTGTTTCATTCTCCAAAACATAGGTTTTCAACATCTTTAAAAAGTAATAATGCCACTCCAATGAATTAAGACTGAAAAATCAAAAATGTTCAGAAAAAACAAGTGTTTGATCACCCTACTCCTCTTTTCTAAAGATGTAAAAGATATATGCCACTCTGACTAATTTACAGCTTTGATGTTAGGATTATTACTGTACAAAGATATACAGCTTCTGTCAATCATTCTTTTAAATGGTGAGGCTTTCCAACCTTCATTCTGACTAAAAAAGTAGTAAGCCTTTCTTAATATCAGATGAAACAAAAAGGAACAGGCCTATGAAATTTATTAGACACCTTGATTTGATAAACTGTAACTAAAGTACATTTAACAACATGCAATGCTTACAAAGTCCCTCTGCTTGCACTGAGTTTTTTTTTTTCTAAATTTAAAAACTGTCAATTAATGTTACAGAAGATATACAAAGCATTATAATTATATAGGCTGTGCATAAATGTCCTGTGTGTTACATATAGTCTGTAACCATTAATTATTTATTTTATAACTTTGTGGAACTGTCTCTATATAAAGCCTATTGATCAGGCTTGTTGGCACACAAAATATTTACAGGAATAAAAAAGCCAAAACTGCCACCACATAATTAAATAATTTACATAATTGGCTCCTCCAAAATTTTCAAAATTAGGAAACCAGAAAATTCAAATTACTTTACATGTAAAATATTCTGATTTGTTCATGAGATCTAGAAAATCATCCAGCATTACTTATTTTTACAATAGCACTGAATCAACAAAGTAAGACCAGTATTGCCTGTCTATGATATTTACTCCTAGTACAGTAACTACCAAGATAATTAGACAAGATGAGTAAAATGAATTAAAATGATAAGAACTGGGAGAGATTGAGAAACCACGCAGTAGGAGGGCAAACACTATGAAAGCCCTTAGCTACGAAGAACGCACCTTCATTATAGTTAAAATATCTTCCTAACTGCATTACTGCATGAAAATGCATGTTTCATAACAACAGAAATCTGCAAACCAGGTGTTTAGAAATCTAGGAATTGGCATATTGGTTGTAACACCCAGATATGGACTACAACACTTAAGTAATAACAGATGGTAGTGAACTTGCCAAACAGCAAAGACTCTCAAGACAAGTGGGACAATATGTGTTTGGATGAAACACAAATTGGGTTTCTGGGACGTTTCTGGGATCCAACAGTTAAAGGAAAGGTGAGGCTTCTGTTGAAAAAACAGTGTTGAACAACATCCCTTTGGTGAAGAGCAGAAGTGGATCTGTTCTAGTTCAGTACTGTTTTGCCTTGTCTGGCCTTAGTGTCCAAGATGGAAGGAAGGAACAGAGTTTCCAAAGTTCAGCAGGATATTTTAACCCAAATCTCGTGCCATCGATCAAGAATGCTGGCTCACAAAAGGCCTTTAGAAAGGCCAAGGATGTTCAGTATGAAGTAGTTAAATATCCCTCTTGAGAAGGTTAAGAACTATAAAATGGCTAAAAGATTAACCTCCTTGAGGTTGTCAAAGACAAAACAGATTTCACTAAATAGATTTCCAGGGTATGTATACAATTGAAAACCATGTGTTTACACCTGCAGTGCTCCCAGGACTAATCTATACTTGTACCTCAATGAAAAAGAAATAAAACAACTGTCCACAGATTAGATGGATTACATTAGAAATACAGACTGTATACTGCACCCTATAAAAATGTCATATTTTAATCTTGATTGCACACAGCACACAGCAGTCATATTTCTCTTACTTAAAGCATAGAGGACATCAGGTTCACATTCATTCATACTCATGTAGTCAGTATTTTGTAAATCCTCCTCTATCATGAATTCAACAGACAAAATAAGTCCTGTAGTATGCTATGAAGTTCTGGCACTTCTGGGGGAGATTTCTAATCATTCTTCCAATTAGTATTACTCTAAGTCCTTTGAAAACCACTCAAATACAAAGATCTACGTATTGGGGTCTGGGGATGACTTGTAAAAAACTATTTTGTCTTTAGTTAACCATTTCTTTGTCAATTGGGATGTATGCTTTGGATCACTGTCATGCTTGCATATCCATTTTCAGTCAAACTTGAACTTTGCAGCAGAGGAAACCAGGTAAAGCTAATAATTCCTCCTATTTAAACATGGGCTGCAAAACAACTACAGGGAGAAATATTTTGTTTCACCTGACAATAAGATATGCTTAAATGTCATTCAGATATAGATGTAAAACTGAGTGGCCTCTTTCTGTGGTTCACCATCTGAAAAAAACATCTTTCTTGCAACCTGGCCAGGAATTGCACATTAAAGAAGACAAAATAGAAGTATATGCCAAAGATGCCACTTTGTACTAGGGATCTCCATCTGTTGAATTGAATTGTTGAATTTGCAGTTGCCTCCTGAACCACTTGACTCACAGTCAAAGCCCATGGTAGCAACATGCATCAGTTGTGTCCTCTTCCTTTACCAATAGCCTTAAACATATTAATAATGCAAGTTTGATATTTTTTAGTGAGTTTCATATTTTTGTGGATGCTTCCCTAACCCTCAAATTGCGGTCAATTTCATTTCTCTGCAGTCTCTGGAGAGCTCTCTCAACATAACCATGACTATACCTATTACAACTGAATGTCTCCTCTGTGCTACCACCATTTAAAACTCAAGAAAACAGTGAACAAGACACCTTGTGAGGATTGTATAGACTCTATTTTGTTCTAAAAGCTTACATTGTTCTTACAGCTTTTTTGTATTTTTTTTTTTTTAGTTTTTGTTTTTGAATTGTACCTCAAGCAATACTTTAATGTGTTAATACATGAGACCACAGTGTTTTCTTGTATAAATTAGGACAAAATTACGAAACTGTTTAACTTATGCAATTTTATCAAATACAGCATACAATTTTCAGAATCTTTCTACGCAAGACACATTAACCATGTAAACTCATTTTGTTTTCCCTGTTTCATAAGCAGTTTGAGTAAATCTGGATGGCAATGAATGTAAGTATATGACAGATTCACTAATACAAGACAGAGTCGTGCTTATCATTAGTGTTTGATATATTGGCATCACAAAACACAATCTACACCTGGATTTGTATGCTAAATCAGCAATATGATACCATTTTAAATTGTATGAATAAATTTAGAGTCTACTGTGTTGCTAACTTTTATGGGTTAGTATAAGATTAAAGCTAAACTGCATAGCAAACAATGAAACAAGATAGGGATAAGCATGGTGTAATAGCTTTAAAATAAACCTGACATTTGTTAAAAAATGAAAATCTGTATACTAACAAAACATGTTTGATGCGTGTTTTATTAATAAGATAAAGAATAATTAAAGGGTATTTGATTTTCACCATACAGGTTGAGTTGAGCCATAAGTAAAATCATATAAACATTATCTTTTGAAAAACTGATTTACACAAGACTTAAAATTAAGTCACACTACCACAGTAAGCAAGCTGTTCTTAAGCATAAAACAGCATTAAAGATTATACTAAATTGCACCATAACAAATTAATATGCCTTCTGTTCAAGCATAATCCACAATCCACTTAATGAACAAGATATAATGGTAACAAAAATGTTAATAAATCCCCTGCAGGTCCACATACCAGCAGAAAAATTTATTTTCTCCTACTTCTGAAAATAACTGTAACAAACTATCAATATAATGCAAGATTAATTTAGTTTTGCTCCTTAACACTTGACAGCAGAGAAAGCCTCAGAAAACAGTGAAATCACCTTAATGAAATACCTTATTGTAGGTATTAAAAACAAACCAAAAAGTGCATGATAAAAAAAAACAAAACAAAGAAAAATAAGCTGCAGTAAGGTTTGGAAAAACTCTTGCCCCACTTTCCACCGCGGGCATCATTTCCCTTCTGATTCAATTTCTTTGAACCAGCTAGTCTGTCAGCCATGGAATACAATAATCTTCATTTTATGCAACAAGTCAGTAAGGAGACTAGCACAAACCTGTCATCTAAAAAAACACTGTATACTAAAAGATTCTAAACATAATTCTAAACAGTGCACATTTTTATATGAGCAACTTGTTACGCAGAGTGAAGAAAGTTTGCTGTTTATTAGTAAAGACACTTTCCTGAGCAACAATGTTTCACTTTAAAAGGAACTTACCATGTTTCTGAGATCCAAAGGTATGTACTAGCTTAGTAAGTAGTTCAGGATTCTCATATTTTTCTTCATTTACCATTACCCAGAAGCAGTCCTCCGACATCTCTTGGGGTCTGATCTGGAAAAAAAAGACACATGGAGGAAGATTTCAGATAAATGCTTGAGAAACAGCTGAAGAATAAGAATGAAATGAATGTGCTTTAGGATGAAAAGGGAAAATATTCCAAACAATTAGTATCTTTATCAATGGACACTAATTCTTCCCATTTGGAAGTATTTGAACAGAAAGCATCTGTTTTTAGCAAACCATAAGCTGGTGTAAGACTTCTCCACAAAAAAGGAAAGTGAACTTTGCAGACCGTTCAATAACAGAAACATGTCTAATGGAGGACTTTTTGAGATATTATAAAACGTATTAAATGTAAAAGCTTTTCAGCAAAAAAAATGCTATCAATAATAGCTGAAATAAGGCATACTCTTTACATTCAAGTAACTTCATACTTTATACATACAGTATTATGAAAGTGTTACCCATAAATCTTTACTGATAGAGTATTATTTGATGTTCATTATTAAAATCACATTTTGCAGTATTACCTAAACTACATCTACTGTACATACATATGATCTGCTTGTCTAAACAGAAGTATTCTTTTTACACAAAGAAAAAAACAAAATGTAAGAAATTCAGTTTACAGAAATGAAAATGAGGTGAGCAATTTTATTATCTGCTGCACTTCAGACAGAAAGACTGATAAACATTAAAGGTCTGATCAATAAGTGCTGGTGTTCCTTATTTCATTAAGTCAGTGGCACAAACTTTTCTTAAATTAAGGAAGGTGTCGGAAGCAGTTTGACGTAACTACTTCATAATCTTTGAAAATACGAGTACTTTATGATGGATAAATATGTATACAGGCAAAGTTTGTTAAACACATGACATAATATTATTTCTATCTATCCATATCTCACAACAAGGATGTTAAAATTATGTAACATTTACTATAATGAATAAACATTCAGTAAACTTTAAAAATAGATCAGAAAATCACATTAAATTCATTTAACCATATTTACTATATAGTACTTAATAAAATTAGTGAATATCACTGTTGCAAAGTGAACAATTTGCCAATAGTTATGTGTGAAGCTACAGATTGAGATTTATGAACATTGTACTATATAAGCCAGAATGGTTTCCACTTATTTGTAACCTTCCATTTCTATAACAAAGATTAATTAAAACAAATCAAATAATGGAGTAAATTCTGTATTTTGTGACATTTAAAAAATAAAATCTGATACACTTACTACCAACAGTACCATATATATAGTATATTTAAAAAATGTAAATGTATGGTAATTGCATATAAAATATAAGGATATTACTTCTTCCATTATTTATTGGTGTGCTGAATGAAATTCTCTCGTGCAGCACTCATACTGTACCTTTGACCAATTGAGTCGTTTCATGGAGACATCAGGCTTGAACTCCTTTTTAGGCTTCAACCCAAAAGGCAGCATGTGAGGTGGTGGAGACCAATTAGGCCCCCCAAATCCAAGTGGAGGTGGAGGAGGAACCCCACAGGGAAGAGGCACTCCAGGTTCATGTAAGAATGAAGGTGGAGGTGGAAGTACACATCCGGGAAGAGGGGGTGGGGGTGGTGGTGGGGGTACTGGTGTCCCTGAGACAAAGGGAGGAGGAGGTGGGGGTGGTGGTAAAGATGATGTAATGGTCTGAGGCGACTGGACGGTAGGAACCCCAACTGGCACAGCTCCAAACTGCAGAAGTCAAAGCAATACAAATTTATCAAGGACATAATTCAATTTATCTACCACAGGAAAATGTATCATCTTCCTGAAACATGGTTCATCACATAGCACTCTACAGAACATACAACATGTAAGGCAAATGTCAAAGGACTGCTGAAGTATGAGGTCACTAATCTCTTTTTCTCATGATCTGACAAACAAATGTCACGTCAGACTTTAAAATGAAGATTATTTCTCTTTATCTGCTTTTTTCTCCATTAAGGCAGAATATTTTATGAGGATGTCAAAACTTTTTTTCCCCCATAGACATTTTCAAAAAGCAGACAATAAGCACAAATTAGTCTTAATCAATGTCATTAATTGTAAGCACATTTTTTTACACTTTACAGCCACCATCACCAATGATGATCAATGAATAATTTTGCTGTGTGCTGTCCCAGTACGAAAAACAGTGTCTTCTTTTTCTTGACTACCACTGTTTATCTATATCTTGAATAAACCAACATCACAGTATATATATTTATTATATTTAATGCTGATCTTTGCCTATCCAAAATCATACCAGTTTCAAATGTTTACCTATTTTGAGCCTAAACTTCTAAAAATTATATACATCAAAAAGACGTTAATAATAATTCCAATTTGGAGCATTAATGTCAAAGTGTATTAAAGATACAAAAAACATGTCATTGAAGTAAGAGGAGGTTCTACTGGTTGATCTGAATAACTGCTGCATATAAAGTTCCCATTGCAATAGCAAAACCTATGTATATTTATTCAATCATAAACCTTGTCTTCTTTATCTCCTGATTGTTTGGGACTGAAAGCTGTTTAAATAATCCTTGTGATTTAATTCCACATTGATGGATCAGCTCATTGATGAAATACAGGTAAACTCTCAGGAATAATGAGCTTCAGGTGAACTGTGAGATAAAGCTTATTTTCTGAATCTATATTTTACAGGGCAAAAAGTCATTGATTAATTTGTATCACAGATGTTTCCTTGAAAGCTTCTGTATTCCGCAATTTAAAGGTTTTGGATCAATAACAACAAAGACTTCAACATGACAAAAATACAGTTACCTGCTCATATTATTTTCTAGGTCAAAAAAAGTATGATACTTCGACAAGAACAAAGAAATCTGTCTCTTTTAAGACAATAACGAACATAAGGCTATTCAAAACATTAAGATAGTTTTCTTTTTTGCAGCTTTTCCTTCTGAAGTTTGTTTCCAAGAGTGGTGCACCAGCTTTTGTTTCACCATAATTAACAAGTGATTTTTCATGGTTGATGACCAGAACTTCTTTCCAATGTACTGTACATCTGGTGCTGATAGATACTTGGAGAGCAGTGATGATGATAAATGGCTCCTAGATAGCTACAGGGAACTTGAAGGTACAGTAGGAAACAGTCTGTGTTGATTCTGAAAACCTGAGACTGAACATCAGCAAGAAAACAATGATGATGCGCAGACAGCAGTGAGAGCTTTCAGGTCACACATAGCAAAAAGCAGTCTGAGTTATGGTAACCCAAGCTTCACAAACATATCTCATCTTTTTAATCTTGTGCAATGACAGTTCTTCTTTCAAATAAAGGGTAAATCTTGTCGTAACATCCAGGTGCATATTTATGCAGAATAGCAACTGCAGTTCCGTGCAGTGACCCCAACGTATTCGTGGACAATTATATGCATCACAAACTCCAGACTTGTACTTCTGTACCCCATGAAGCTATTTTTCAACTCTGTATTAGCATTGTATATAGTTACAACTTCAAAATGTTGATCATACATATGAATAGAATCCTTACATTTTTTATAGTTCAAATGTCAGTTTTCATCATGCATCAATACTTATATATTTAACAACAAAGAAATAGTTATTATTTTTACAATTGTTTTTTTTTGTGTAGTCATTATTTTTATGTAAACAATTTAAAGTAAGCTAAAAGGGCACACTGTAATAAGTGTCTTTAGTGATCAACACATTTTGACCACATTTTATTTTTTCAAAGGTAAAATCAAACATTGCAACCAGAGCAACAAAGCTCCATACACTGTATAGTACAGAGCAAATGATTTATTGATCTGTGCAACAGCTTTAGATTAAAGACTCACAAAAGGTCATTCATGGTCTCTTTGCAGCTACAACCTCTTGAGGTACAAAACCTATATTGAATTTACCAGAGAGCTTGTTGCTAGCCAAGTCTAAGAATGCATTCTAACATTGATAAAGAAAGGAATCTGCAATTCTATGTTTCATTACAAGTAAGGGGAAGACAGCAAGAGTGGACAAAATAGCAAATAATTCACTGTTTTTTCCTACTTTGCTCTACTACTGTGCAAAAAGGTTAGCAGCATTAACAATATTTGCACTTTGGAGAAATGTACAGAGGCAACACTTTCTGAAAATGTAAATTTTGTGTAGTGAGTTAATGAGCCCAGGAGCAATTTCAAGGAAATTTCAGGTAAAATAGCAATAACACTTACTTTTTGCACGGTAAATCAGTCCAGGGAACATGCACCATAGTTAACGACAGACTCTGAGTTCAATTGAGCATTCCAATTGAGCATTTGTTAAAATGTGTTTACTTTACGAAATTGAAAAATTATCAGAAAAAAAGTTCTCATTCAGCTGAGAGTTATCTTTCATTGCAGGATAGTGCAGCCTGAGGTAAGACTGAATAAATTGCTTTAAGAACAATTTCCTTCGTTGGGATAAAGATCAGTGATTAAAGGCAAAGTGAGGAGCGGCAGTGTCTATAACCTTTCTGCTTAATTACTTGGGAAGTGTTTGATGCAGAAAGCAACAACCCAACACAAACCAATATATATATATATTTTTAAAAATGTAATCAATATTAATTATAAGCAGCAAAAGCAATTAATTTAACACATGGAAATCTAATTAAGTTTATTAGAACATTCTGAAAACAAAGAGTGACAAAAGTATACTCATCATTAAAAAGCACTTATGAAAAAAGTCAGATATTTTGGAAATCAATAAACTATGTATTACCTGTGATCTAAACGCTTGCACTTCCATTTCTAGTTCATTGATTTTTTCTTCCTTTTTCTGCAATTGAGCTTGGACTTCTTGTCGAGCCATAAATTCTTCATCAAACTGAAAGACAAAATGACATTAGTTTCTTGTCAAGGACACACCATTATCTAGATTTAAAAATAAAGGGTTCCATTTTAGTAGTTTCCCCTTACGTGCTTTGGTGGTTCTGATACATTTAATTATATTTCAACCAAAGCTGGGGAAAAATGGAGAACGGAGTATGAACACCTTAAAACCTGATCTACCTCTGCGATCTATTTTGTTTGAGCGAAATACCTAACATTTCTAGCACAAGAAGAGATCAGTACCTTATTTTCTGCATCTCATGCAAAAATGCCAAGCTATCTACATTGGTGAAACAGGAAGGAAACTGGGAACATGTTAGTTCAGCTCAGTTCAGTTTATTGTCATATGCACAAGTGCAATGAAATGCGTATTTGGATGTATGCTCCAGTACAAAGGATACAAAGACATTAAGGAAACAAAACAAAACAAACACAGAACAGCAGCAGTAACAACAACAGGTTACATAACATACATCTTAGGAAAAAAAACACATCAATGTGAGCCAGTGCTAGGGGGTAGAGTTCAGTAATTATAATTGAATTGCTTAAAGTTAAACAGCACTTTTCTGAACACTCCACTCAAAGAGCTGTACAGGTAAAGGTGACTCCCTTCAAACTGGACTAGCAGTGGCAGTCATAGTGCACCAGAACGCTCACCACACATCAGCTATTAGTGGGGAGCAGAACAGAGTAATTAAGCGAATTCATAAAGGGGATTATTAGGAGGTCATGATTGGTCCAATGGGAAATTTGGCCAGGATTAGTGTTTTCAAGAAACACCCTTGGATTTTGTAATGACCATAGAGTCAGCACCTCAGTTTCATGTTTCATCCGAAGGACGGCGCCTTTCTACAGTACAGTGTCCCCGTCACTATACTGGGGCATTAGGACCTACAGATGCAGTCATTCAAAATGCGTGGGCGATACCGCATTATTTTGCGGTGCGCTTTACGCAGTCTACCGCGAGTTACCGTAAATTCTCCTATAATACCGCAACTAAAATAATAGTATCCGGAATTTCTGCAAGGTGGAGCTAATAAAGCTCAACTGACATGTTTGAGCTGTCGCCATCAAAGTCTTTAACGAAGATATTACTAATAGTATTAATAATGATTGACCTTGGACAAGCTGTAAACTCAAAGTATTGCCCTGGTCCACATTCTTTTTTTCATTGACTGTCTTTGTAAAAGTAACACCACAGCATTTCGCAATCACGC